ATTCAAGTTCCTGACAATGACTGCAGGGTACAAGGAATCCCTGGGAAGCTGGTGAGCCTCACGGTTGAAGGGCAATGCAGCCCTGTCAAACATCGTGCCAATCTAAAAATAATCGGGACCTCGCTCATTTACTGGCATGTGGCACTACCACAAGACCCTACCAGCCCACCAACTTTGGACAAGGGACAACTTGTGGTGTACTGGGTTATATAGCCCCAATTTTTGGAATTCTGGCCATGTTCAGCATGCTTCCAACAGTTAATGCCCAACAAACTCAGTCTCCATTCCCTGATATCCCATTTTCAGTCTTCAGTGAATTCATTGCATCCAACTTTAGCTCCAAAATTTCACTATCAACTGTGCTGTTAGTACTGTTTACCATGACTAACAACACAACACTTCTGAGCTTACATGCAAGACAACAAATTTCAAAGTATCCAGGAGAGCGAAAGACTCATACCACTGGCTGGATCACAGGGTTAATTAGGGCTTTAACTGATCAATTGGGCAATAAGAAAGACAGATTGTTCAAAAAGTCTGAAAACAAAGGGGGAATGAATGAAGATCAGGTGTTTGTAGCATTGGGAAATAAGCTTGACCTTTTTGCAAAAATGTTGCAGTTACATCCCATTGACAAGGATGGAAAGTTCAAAGGGAAAATGAAACCTATATCCCATGATGAGCTCAAGCCTGTTATTATGATATGCCCTGATGCAGTTGAATGTGAAACAATGACATGCAATCCACGGTCACTACTCCAGAATGTTCGACCACGAGATATTCCTGAAGTTACATTGATAAAAGGCACTGACATTTATAAGAAAAGCTATGTCCTTACTGGTCTTTGCCCAAAATGTCAGACCCAATATTCTGCTGATCGTGAACGAGTAGTTGGACAGACTGGGTCATTTGATCAAGTATACTTGAACTCTGCTGTATACTTGAAAGTGGGCCAGAATGTTTGGGTTGATTGTATTTTTTCATCAGCTGTTTTAAATGCAATGTATAATTTTCATGCATCTGCAAATGCCTACACTGACTTTTGGAATAACACTTTTGGAGAATTATGTAAGGGCAAACTAATAAAGATCTCACGTCGTCAAGTCTGGCAGGCATTTGTTCAGGAGTCTATACGAACAATAGCAGATGTATCAGATCAGACCTTGATTCTTAAAGATGGACTGTCCATTGATGAGGTAACTAGTGAGGCATTCAGTAAACTGGGAGCAAATGGAATAATTCTTCCTGCGGGTCAACACTCCTGTTCTGAGTGTACCCAAAAATACAAAAAGAAAGCTGATTTTCTCACTGGTGATGATCCTGCTGCCTTAGTTGGTAGAGATGAGAACAGAGTTGTACCTTCTCTGACTGGAGAAGGGGCAGCAGATGCTGCACAAGATGCTGCAAGAGCAAGAGAGCTTGCATCTCGTGTGCAGGAGGACTCAGATGATGAGCCTATGGATGTTGATCATGCACCTGTTAAGATGGTAGTTGTAGATGGAATTGTAATAGGACCAACTCATTGTGCATATGGTGATTGCACATCAGCACTTGGCAATGCTCGAGGAGGTGTCTTTTGTCCTGTGCATGAAACTGAATATGGAACAAAGTGTCATTGTACAAATACAAA